AGAGAGAGAGAGAGAGAGAGAGAGAGAGAGAGAGAGAGAGAGAGAGAGAGAGAGAGAGAGAGAGAGAGAGAGAGAGAGAGAGAGAGACAGGCGATGGAGAAAAAAATTTTCGGGAACTGGTTTCGAAACTAAGAAACTTGTCCCGACGGAATAGAGTGGCCCGAAGGATTTCAGCGTCCGTGGAAAGAGGAACACGCTTGTTAAGTATCCGCGATCGTCTCGTCGCGTTAATTTAATGCGAATAAATATCGCATCTATCATTTTCTCCCCTTGGTCCTTCGCTCTCGACCAACGGAGAAATAACAGACTCGATGATAAAACAACGAACTCCGTCGAGGAACACGTTATCCTTCGGAAATTCTAGTCTGGACTCTTTTGACATTCCTTGAGAGAGTCAAATTTTGTCTATCTTAGGTATATCTCTAGATCTCGATAACTGAATCTCAATGAAAAAAAAAATACTTCTTGATTTTCTTCAGTATCGAGTACTGGATACTTTTGAATAAAATACGACGTAGGTCGTGAAAGTAGTTTATATAATATTCGTTGACCATGGAAATAATATAAACAATATTTTAAATCAAAGACACAGTACACGTGTCATTGGTTGCGAAAATTTAAATGTTCTCCACGATTATATTTGGACAACTTTACTCGATAACGACATCTTAAAATATGTATTCAAGCTTCTTTCTAAAATCAAGTTTCTGTGTAATAGTTTTTTTTTGTATTTTAATAAAGCATTTTATAAACTTTGTAGTTTAATAAATTACTTGAAAATAATCTAAAATGAAACTAGACACAGTCGTGTGGCACAAAACTATAAATGAAATAATGAGGTTTAAAATGATCCAGGTGGCCATAAAAATTATTTAAGATTCCTTCGACTACGTCAACGTTAATTTTGACCATTTTTATCGAGAATTACGCAATTTAACAACGACATGTGTTCCTTGTCGTTTTCTTTCTTCGACGCGACGAATCGAGAAAACGAACAGTCAGTTTGTTGACACTGTTCGCTCGACCAGCACGCTCCGATATCCCGCAATGAAAACATCGCGCAGCTAAGGTCTCAAAACTAAACAAACTGTGCAGGTGTCCCTTTAAACTCCAAAATTCCGGCAATCCCTGCGCACCATCTGCGCCGCAACGAGAAGGTGCGAGTTTGTTGACGGAAAATAAACTGGCCCGTTCGATTTCACGATGGAAACAATTTTGCCGCCATTCGTGGCACGTTCACGTTTCTACCATGAATCTCGAATTCTCAGAATTGATAATCGTCGCTCAAGTCGTATTTCACTCGAAGACACGCGTGCCACAATTTTTGATTGGTCGTTAAACTTTACCAAAGAGATTCGTTTCTGGTAATTCGGTTATCGAAAGTTTCCCATGGTAACGCCAGTTCCTTTATCTCTTCGTAACGAGCTCACCAGGTTACAAGATAAGCACAACCGTATAAGAAACCCATATACGTCAGCCAGGGATTAAGATTTCGTAGATCTCTGGTGCCCCGCAGGTACCGCGGGCCTCCAATAAATCCAGGAGGGAAAAAGAAACTCGAAGAAAAATTTAATTTATTCTTACAAGCTCAACGACGATTGCCTCGGTTTCAGAGCTACGAACGAGTTGCTACGCGGAATTTCTTGGAAACAAATTTCACTCGAACGTCGGTTAATTACAAGTCCGTGAGAACATCCGTTTTTAATCGTCATGGGAGCAAGTTCTCGTGCTATCGCAAGGTTAGTTAGTACGCGGAATCATGGAAAACGTTTTGAAATAGTTTTACTCTACGAACAGGAATCATGTTATGTGTTTACACACGTATAAGGGCGTAACGGACAGTTTGGAGTAAACATGATCTACAACATACAACACATGACACAACAACTCGAGAAACTTTTATTAGGAGACTGTAACGAAGAGCAATATATATTTCGGAAAATGGAGTTACGAATTTTACATGGAGCAGTCATGCTCCAGAAAAATATAAAAATGGAATGGACTCGAGCAAGTAACGGTTGTTTAAAAAATCCTAATCACGCTTAATTACACTTTTAAGCCGAACACTTGCTATACCTCGAAACAAAGATTTACTTCAATTTTAAAACATACATTTTGGAGTGAAGCACTTGCTATACCCCGAAACAAAGATTTACTCCATTTTCAAAACAATCAACTCGTACGTGTCACAATAACAGAGTTCTAACTTCGGAAGATTTAAAAATCGGAGCCTCTTTCGCGCGCCGTGGAAGCTTGGGACTGATCAACGGCGCCATTTTGTGCTATGCACGCGATCGAGCACTCCGATCGATAAAAGGAACGCGAAAGAAGCGCTAAGACCAAACACCGGTACAAGGTGGTTACAGATACGACTGGTGAGCATCCAGGCCAAACACCGATCACTCCGAGGGACCGACTCACCGCCCACGATTCTCGTAAATCCGCACAAAACGAGCGAGCGTGGATAACGAGCACGTAAATACAATCCCCTGTCTGTCTCCGAGTTGGAGCGTCTTTCGTCTCGGAGACACTTGTAAGAACTCCAAAAACCACGCACCTGTTCCGATGTCGATGCTTCTCTCCTGCTGCTCCTCGAGTCCAGACGAATCAGCTTCTGTCGTCCCGTTTTCTAATTCAAGTAATCCAAATAAATCGAGGTAGAGGATGAATGTGAACGAACACCTTGTCCGATTGTCACAAAAACTCCTCGCGTCGCCGTGCCACTGAACTCACCCGTGTGCAATTCGCGGAACAAAACGGAGCAAGCCACGAATTTTCGTTTGGGTTTTCACTGTCACTCCGAATTCACTGTATCCGTAGATTCACACCCGCGATAAAAACAAAGAGAAACTGAACACACGCGTCCGAAGATAAAGCCGCCTCCACGTGGAAATCGGCGACCACTGGAATAGAGCGTCCGTCACGTCGGAGCGGCAAGCCGAAACTAGCGCGTCGCGCGGCTTTCGACGAAGGCGAGCCTAGCAGGCCTCCACTGCCATCTCTCTCTTTCCCTTGAACTATCTCCTTCTTCCTTTCGCGCAATCCCCTCTTCGCGGATCGTTTCTCTCTCTCTACAAAGTGCCCCCTTCCCCTGTACAAACCTTAGGCTCCCTTCACAAGGGGTTCCCTTCCTCCTTGCACAGCGCAACTGGCTGATAACTGGGTGATTGTTCACGAAGACACAGGTAAGGAATATTGAAGCACATTTTCCTCGTCGATTGATTACTAGTTTCTCCCACTTGTATTTAGCGATCAAAGCAAAAGTAGGTAATACGCTCCGATTAACTACACGTTTCACTGTTGTATTACACATGGAAGTGTAGGTACACCAATTTCAGATGACAACATCGAATCATATTCAACGAATAACCGAGTACTCCAAATTTTTATTTAACACGTTGACTGCCAGATTAACACTCTCGAAAATTTCTACTATGTTTAAATTTTATTTACAATCTAGTGGAAACTACATAATCAAACATTTATTGTGGCATTTATTTCTGTAATTTCATTAAAGTTCAAATATGTCCTTTAAATTCATTTTCTTTAACGGTTTACCTTCAGAATTAATTTTTTTAGTTTGTCAATGAAAAACACTGTCACCCATATATGCGTGACGTAGCGATCAACGTGTATAAGAATGTTACCTCCATGACAAGACCACCGTTGTATTACACGTGGAAGTATAGATACTTCAATTGCAGATGACAGGGTCAGACCATATTCAACAAATAACAAAGTTCTCGAAATTTTTATTTAAATAAGGATGTTACCTTCATGACAAGATGTATTACGAGCGAAAGTGTAGGTACTCTAATTCCAGATGAGAGATTCAGATTGTAACTATTACTCAATAAATAACCAAGTATTCCAAATTTGTATTTGAATAAAAATGTTACATCCGTGTACCTTAACCTCCCTTCTCGTACGATCCTTTCCTCGTTGCACTATTCCAACGGTGGACGACGATCCCTTCTCCCGCAAACGATCTCTTCTGCACAGGAACAGCCAACCCAGTCCCTTTTCCAGTCCCTCCAGTCCGGTATACGAACACCATACAGTGGCGCATCCAGAAGGGGTGCCAGGGAGCACGCAAAACGGACTACAATTGACCCTATTTTCAATTTCTGAATAATTAGAACTTCTTCTAATGTAACTGTAAACTTAAACATTTATCATCAATCATGTCTCATTATTATTATAGATAAATTAGCTACGTTTCAGTTATAATTATCAATACAATCATTTAATAATTATTAATACATTTTTGTCATTCTTAGAGATAGAGTATTTCGAATTCCGGGAACGTCGAATCTTTTCGCTGTCTCTTGATAGTTCTGCTGCTGGAACTCTCGTAGATCCGTCACTGTGAACACCAGTGCTCTTTCGTTCTCTCCCCACCTGGAAGAAGCTCGATTCGCGTTATGCACCGATGCACACGCTGTACGTAACTTCGGGAACGATGCTCTCTCACTTGTTCCATGGACCTCACGGACAACGCCGATCGTCCCGCGATATATTCGGGCTTTGATGAATGGAGGAGCTTCTTGCGGGTATGTATACGGCGAATTTGATTCGACCTCCGCAAGGAATGATTCACGACGGTATGATCAACGAGACGAGACCAACGTGTGGGCGTTTCGAAATCCAGCTAGAGACGTCACTCACGAGCACGTGCTTTCGAGTGTTTACCTTTCTTTTGTGTTTGTTCGTCGCATTAGGAACAATTCACGTGTTCGAGCGGGGCCCTTGTGCACCCGTACCGTTTTGTAATTCTTTTGTTTTAATTGCATGTTGACTTCCTTGAGAGCCCTGTCCTGCAAGCGTGAATCGATTGCTTGGGGAACTCATGGGGGGTCTAATAAATTGTAGCGAAATTGACGTGATCGTATCATACACAAGAACATTTGAAATCACGTATTTCTTACAATGCTTCTCGTGCATATCTATATTTTCAAACACTTTTATACTAATCCAAAAAATTAGTGGAAAGAAAGTGTATCCTGTATTTCTTACTTGTTCTTTTCGCTTGTATAGAGACTTAAAGAACACCCGTTACATTGATTGCTTTATGTAACGATACAAAGGAATTAGATCAGGAAAAATTTGCATAATACGATTACGCAGCTTATATCGAGCATGAAATTTTTAAGTGCACCACGGCGATAGCATAATAAACTAATGTGTATGTTAATGAGAGCCGCGAGTGACCGATACGTTATGCAGTTCCTTCGGCCAAAGATATTTGAAGGCGAGATCCCGTTTCTAAAATTACGCAGAAATTTTCAGCAACGTATTTCTCGCATGACTAAGGAAGTTTTTCAAGTGTCTCTTACTTCCGGACATTTCGGGAACCAGCGAGTCTCTAGGATCGTTTAAACTCTCCGCCTCTTCTTTACTTTTTCTTTTCTTTTTTTTTTGCGGGGCAGCCAATTTGTATGCGAAGGATCTCCAGAATTAGCCGAGGCCTGCTTCTCCCCCGTGACCATTATTTACAACCTCGATTTTCTTTTTATTATTGACCCGTGTTTCCTCAGTTTTCTCTTATTTACTGCCTCGTTAAAGCCGCCTTACAACGAACTTGTCGTATTAACTATTGTCACGCGATGCATCGATCAATACATTGTTCGCCGCGCAAAGTTTGAACAGCTAACAACTATCATCAGTTACGTTAACCTTTTTTTAAATTGACACGTGAAACAAAGTGGATCCAATTTACGAGCGAAAACACGGAGCATCCATCATACGGTTTGTCGCGCTTTTTCAAGATTTACGTCAATTCGCAAGGTGTATAACGAAGCGTTGAGACACCTGGGTAATTACTTGATTTCGTCCTCGAGCGATTCGAAGGCGATTTTCGGAAAGCTCTCGACCATCTCGAGCGGAATCGAGATCTTCGATGGTACTCGAACGAGCGTTCGAGATTTCAGTGCTAACCGACTCTTAAAGGCGGAACACGGTTTCTGTGGTGGTTAGACTACCGAATGCTTACTTAGGAGTTATTCTTCCTTGCTCGTCTAGTATTTGCGTCAATATTTTCTTTCCGTTGCTCCGAAAGGAAAAGCAATTTACGTTCATTGTTTTTGTACAAGGTATTCTCGCGCCGTCGCCATTTTGTAATTACAAGAACAGACGAAAGTTTATTTTGATCTGCGAGGAACATCTAACTTTGAATCCTTGAAACTAGTGTGAGGTGTTTTATTTGTTTATGTTATCGAGAATCATTGTTTAGGAAAATTAAACAGAGTTATGGAAGCTTCGATCTAACCCCTGACAGTAGCATGTACCTCGATACTTTAAAAGTTTCAGTGCGATACTTCGTTAATTCCCACGATCAGTGGAAACGTGCCACCCTAATTATATGCAGCGGTACACCCACGACAAGCAATCCTGAATGACTACCTGTTCGATCGTGAACGTATTCCGCAATCTTTCTTCCCGAACAACCCAGGGATTTCCATTTGTTGGCAAAGACACGGTCGGCGGTAGTAATCTCAAGTTTCCAAATGTCTCTTTCCCGATGTCCTTTGCGCTGGTCGTCGCAACACCTACCGTGTGCCAGTTATAGACACCGTCGACCATGGTAAATTGCCTCCGGATCTGAACAAACACGTGACCACGGGTACTATTTACTCCAGTAGTTGGTAGTGGGCTAGAGTAACGGGCCGAACATGTACCAGGAACTTCCAGGAAGGGTATACAGATCAAAGACCCCTATATTTCTCTCGTTCCCTCCTTCTTCCGTCTCTAAAGTATCTTCTCTCATCGGTTGAAATTGTGTTAGAACACCATTACTCGAGTTGGTCACTGGCTAGTTTTCCCGGGCTGTTTGCGTTCCTTAAAGCGTATTCACATTAATTTCGTCGCGGCGAAGGACATAAAACCTTGAACCCTTGCGCGAGCCAACGGTAATGGTTTCGTCGTTGACGTACACCGCAACGTGGAATTGCAACTCGCCTGGGTAATTACGGGGTTGAAAAGTGTCTGTTATTAGGTGTTAGGAACATTTCTGCGATTCTCTCCAAAGTGTACTCCGGTCGTGGTTCCCGTTTCCTGGGAATTCGCGATTTTTCTATCGAAGGATTCCTCATTTCCTGGATGAGTATTCGTGTAACGGAATCATCCCTACCCTGGGTATGAGTGACCATTTATGACTTCAGCTTTTCCTGCTTCCAACATACATAGGTCACTTGGATAACGCATTTATTTTTTAAGGGCTTTTATAGGGGAATTTATTGGGGCTACACGGTTACTTGCATTTTGAATTGTCGTAGGTTTCACGTTCAGTTCTCATCATCGTAACGATCTTCCATGCCATTCCTTTCGTCGCTCTCTGCCAAGCAATTGCGTGCACGTATTCAAACGTTATGCAATATCGTGGTCTCGATAATTCACGTGGAACCCACTTTCCTTCCTTCACGTGCAATCATTCTGACACAGTTGTAAACTGCATTCACAACCTGCGAGCTGCTCAACGTTTGTGGCGGGTCTTTATCGACCGAAGCTTGCAAATCTTCTCTTCCGTTTCGCGAGGCCGACCATAGCTTCGCTTGTCACTCGAATCGAAGTCACCAAGTTTAATTCTTGCATGTATCTCTCTACACATGTGCTGAGCATCGTGATGGTTTCATCGGACGGCGAGCAGGCGAATCAGTGGCGCTATAGGTAAACATGATGGCACCACGGTGCCATTTCTTCCTCTTCATGGTGCCATTAATTTATATACTCGTCGCACACGGAAACTATTTAAATCCATTATGTACTGGGGCACAATTTCGACGATCCATTTTTAATCGTACAAACACCGTAATAAAGCTTCACGCACCGAAAAAACTCCGTTCCAGTTATCCGGGGAGAATTTGTTCCATTCACTCAGGCACTCCCACGCTCAATAAGATAGACTTGTTTCTTCGATGAATTTCGATACGT